CCTTTTTAAAATTTAAATGTTCACTTGCATATTTTTATGCATTTAAGAAAGGCAAGCCATATTGCAGTGTTGTGTTATTTTGATGTTAGAAACATTAAAGAGGAGATTTTTCAGTTTTTGGTTAGTCACGTTACGCATTAATCAAATAGTATGTATTGAAAATCAGGTGCAAAGGGTTAAGGCATGGTATGTATTAGCGAAGAGCTACATTAGGTATTTTGAGTGGCCACTTAAATACGTGTTTGATAGTCTGCTGGGTTAGACATTGATAAGTTTAGGGAATAATATTATCATTGTCAGTAGTGATGTTTAATTACGCTCTGGTAGTCATCACCAGAGGGTTTATTGTAACCAGTTGATGCAAATAAAAATACATTTAATTTATGATTACCGTATATAACCGCGTTTAAGTCGATACCGCGTATAAATCGACCCCCCCACTTCGACATAAAAAATTCGTAGAAAATAAGAAACCCGCGTATAAGTCGACCCCCACTTCCGAAATCGATCGAGAAACTTCGAAAATTTTTTTTTTAAGTACTACATTTATTCAAAATCATCTGAAAAAAAAAGTAAATATACGATAAAAAATACTTTGGTAAATAAACAAAATCAAAATCCTTCAACGTCCGATTCATGGTCAGATTCGCCAAACATTTCATAGAACTCTTCTGTCGTTATTGGCTCGTCATCATACATATTTTCAGTTTCGAACTCTGTATTGTTACAATCACTACTAGATCCTTCGTCGTCATTTTCACTTTCAAAAACAGTATCATCTTCCGTGCCGTCTAGTTCGTTGCTAATACAACATTTTTTAAATGATTTTATAATCATTTCAGAGGGTATTTCGTTCCAAGCATCTTTAACCCACTGAGCAATTAATGTAATATCGGGCTTTTTAATGTTGCCTCCCTTTGTAAATGTTGGTCGACCGATGAACAATAACTATTATAAAGACTTATACGTACGTAAAAACTATCTGCATTTCTCTTTCTTTGGCGTGTTGGCGAAACTTTTTTATTGCTCGGTATTGATCGGTTGTTCGGGGGCCGAAAATTCTTTGGTTTAATCGAACCTTACTCTAGTTAAAGTATGAAACTCTGTGATTAGTTCGTCACATAATTTAAGTCATGAAATTACTTCAAGTAAGTGACTTATTTGATAAGTCGTCCAATTTGAGTGCGGGAAGAAAACAACTGCATTATATAAAGAAATTTTTGAACTTCCGATTCTTTTAATTTTTTATGGCCCCGCGTATAAGTCGACCCCCCACTTTGAAGACTTTTTTTTTGTCCAAAATATCTCGACTTATACGCGGGTATATACGGGGTAATTGACTATGTTAATCTCAAAATACAGGGTGCTTCAGAAAAAATGCATACACAGTTTTGAATTGTCAATAGTCACAGAAAATTTAGTTTCCAATAGACAAGTTTAAATTTCTGGGAAACGTAAGGTTACAATCCGATATGAAAAATAAGTATACTCTCTGGCCAAACTAAATGTTTCAAATGGTGTTTAAGTAAATGTTCAAAATGGTGGTCTTCAGCAACGATACATTTCTGAGTACAAATCACGACTGATTTCTTACTTCACACCAAAGTGTCCATTGGGATTTCTGCGACCACCACTTGAATCTCATCCCAAAGTGTGTCAAGGTAACGGGGTCTACAATGGTACACTTCATCTTTGACTGTGCCGCATAAAATAATCGAGCGGCGTAAGGTCTGAAGAACGCGCAGGAAACTGGATTGGCCGACTGCGTCCTTTCCATTGGCATGGTACATTTTGATCCATGTATTCTCACACATCCCTATGATAGTGCAAAGAAGCGACATCTTGTTGGTAATAAAACATGGTTTTACCGTACATTACAGAATACCAAGAAAAATGAAATTACCAAGCATTGTTAGGTACTTTGCTCCAATTACATAACCTTCAAAACGGAAGAGTCCACCAATGATTATCCTAGCAGACAAACCACACTACACTTTCTGCACCAGGTAAATTCACAGCCTTTTTAACATAATGTGAGTATTATCTTCAATGCAGTACACACAATTATGCCTATTGACAATCCCATTAAGTTTAAATCGCGCTTCATCCGGCGAAACAATGTTACCCATAAATCCCGGCTCACGTGTAACCATCTCCCGAACCCATTCACAAAACTGGACCAGAAAGCCATTCGATTTTTTTTTATGGGGCACAGTAAAAGATGAGGCGTAGTGTTGTAAACCACGTAACCTTGACACACTTTGGGATGAGATTCAAGCGATGTGCATAGAACTCCTATTGGACACTTTGGTGCAAAGTAAGGAATCAGGACTCGTACTTAGAAATTTATCCATGCTGAAGATTTACTGTTTGAACATTTACTTTAAACACCATTCAGAACATTCAGTTTGACCAGAGAAAGTATACTTATTTTTCAAACTGGAGTATAATCTTACCATTCGGAGAAATGTAACTTTGTAGGTTGGAAAATAAATTTTCGATGAGAGTTCATAGTGTGTATACATTTTTGACGCACCGTATTCATGAAATTTATTTGCCGAATTATTCTAATCAATAAAATATGGTTTTCATGCTCTCTCTCTCTATAGATATATCTATATCTATCTATCTATATATATGTATATAGATGTAATATAACTGCTCTATTATTGTGATAAGACTGCGTTATTATTGTAATATAAAATATAGCTTTCAAATAATAAACTAATAGCCCTTTAACTTCTGTCTTCTTTTGTCTGTGTAGAGTTCTAGACTTAAAGTGAAAAAAAGATAATCTGCCGCTAAAAACAAGAAAATAATTTAAGAGAAATTAGTTTATCCTTATAAATTAAGGATCATACATGCTTTAGTTTTTTCTTAATTAGTCCAAGGTGACTTGGACTTGAGGATGTGTGTTTTTGTGATGAAAGATATACATTTTTTTCAGTTTGCTATGAAACATACTGGGAGGCATAATTTATATATTTTTTAATCTAAAAATAACAGAGCAATAAATTTTCTAACTAAGCGAAAATGATCCGTCATCTAATCTGTATTGCGCACTTATCGATGAAGTCTGAACCCTACACCTGTACATTAAACTGCCGGGCGATTTGAAATGGAATGCGGTATAAAAGCCTTATTGCGTCGCAACTCTTCCTCTTCTGTCTTCCCTTCTGCTTTCAGACGCTTGTGTCGCCTTTCCGCTATCCACGCAGAGTTCACTTTTCTAATTTTCGTCTTTTAAGAAAACGTAGTAATCTGTACAAAATTGGGGGTTGCATAGCGCACCCACAGTGGTAATGTGCATTATCCAGAAATACAATTATTTGTGAAATTTAGGATATGTCTGAAAGTTTTTTTTATTTATGCATCCATCATTCTAACTACGCAAACAAAATACGATAGCCGTTTTAAAAATAATTGGCGACCTCAAAATTAACTATTCTAGATTTGGTGCTCTTCCCCTGAATTCATTTGTTCCCCAAATTCGAGATCTTTCCCTGGTAGATAACATTGCTTGAAAAATGTAACTAAAACTAAACTTAAACAATCACGGCTTAGCTTTACATAAAGCACCTACGTAGTATAAATACGGCTTCGCGAGGAACAACGTTTCTTTTTACCTGATTTCTCCTCTGGGCTCACCAGCGGCCGAGCGGTAAAGTCGCTGAACACTGGTAGTTCGGTCTGAGGTTCGAATCCCGCGAACGGGCTGGCTGCATGGGCGTTTTCGTGGTTTTCCCCATGTGTAACGTGTATACGAGTCAGTTCCCCTTAGAAAGTCCTCCACGAAGGCATCCCTCCCATTAGGCAGATAGCCCTCGAGGCTTTGCCATAATCACACACACAAGTACCTGATTTCTACCATACAAAGAACTCTGCGCCGCTTATGCTTTTCTGCCTGAAATGACGTCGTATCTTTTTGCCTGTGTATATAAAAATTTATTGTATTCAACGATGATTGAAAAGTAAGTTTGTCTGCCAAAGAGAGTATTTGAGATGCGTAAAAATAAATATGATCAGTTTTGTTATCTGCTTCATCAAGCCTTCACTCTCAGCCATTACTGTCTTCTCAGCCATGTCTACTGCCAGAGGTTAAAGTACCGGATTCCTTCTACGCATTAAATTATTACACGCACACACATATACATATATATATCTAGAGAGAGAGATGTGTATATATATACAGAGAGATAGATGTCTATATATATATAATCTTTTACCTGATATATAATCATGCTTATTTTAACAATTGATATTTCCAGTGATATCTATTTTTTCTTTCAGCTGCACCGAAATATAAATTAGGTGGAGTTAAATAAATAGCAAACGAAGGTGTAGTTTAGAGAAAGAAAAAGTTTGGTCATGTATCAGGAAAGCTATTTCTCTCCATAAGCCCCCCGCATGTTGTACGAATTAGTTTCGGTGAATGTTTTCTAGCATATGGTAGCGATTGTACTTAAAAGTCGCTAATAATTTGGATCCAGACTGTATAGATATTAAAATATATTTGTTATGATTGTATATATTTAGTTAGTCTGTTACTTCGAAGATCCCGAGAGGAGTGATTAAATAAGGTTTTGTTAAAATTTTAGTTGTATTTATAAAGCATAGAATTAATAAACCTTTAGCTTTAGGATTTTATCTTTTGTCTGTGTAGAGTTCTAGACTTAAAGTGAAAAAAAGATAATCTGCCGCTAAAACAAGAAAATAATTTAAGAGAAATTAGTTTATCCTTATAAATTAAGGATCATACATGCTTTAGGTTTTTTTTATTAGTCCAAGGTGACTTAAGGTTGAGGATGTGTGTTTTTGTGATGAAAGATATACATTTTTTTTCAGTTTGCTATGAAACATACTGGGAGGCGTAATTTTAGAAAGACTGTGGTTTGAACTTAAACGTTTGAGGCGTAATATTATTTTAATTATTTTAAGTATTTAAGTTGTGAATATATTGTAACACACTTCCAAAACAGTGTAATAAAGAAGACACGAACCTTAAAAGACCTCCGGGGGGAGAATAAGCGTAACACATAAGATTTGGATATTCGCATTTTAGTAAAATGGCTAATATTGCTGCTGTTCCTGCTCCTAGTGAATGGCCCACAAGAACGAGTTCATAGTTTTGTGTTCCTTTGTCCTGTAAGGAATAATTGTAACAGTAAAACACATAAATAACAATAAAATAAATAAAATAACTTCTCATAAGAATAGCGTACTTTTCATAAAAACTCGCGAATTGAATTTCCAACAAGTCGACAAAACTCAATTCATAAAAATCTGACATTTGATTAGGTACTTCTCATAATAACTGGTAAATGTCTTTATAAGGTATTTCTCCGGCCTTCTTAACATGCCTTCGTGGTGTATTGGTCAGCACACTCGGCGCGTATTCGAGAGGTCCGTGTTTCGACTCCCGGCGAGAGCACTCCTAATATTTCATGCCTCATAGTGCTTTAAAAAGTACTTAATATCTCTACAGTGGTGCCGGAACAGGGACCACTGAAGAAACATTAGGTATTTTTTGAAAGCCGAAGACATGAAAAATTAGCAATGCCGCCGCCGGGACTCGATCCACGGACCTCTCGAATACGCGCCGGGTGTGCTGATCGCTACACCATGAAAGCATGTTAAGAAAGCGTAAGAAATACCATATACACTCCCTCTTTTACAGGGTGACTGGGGATTAGGGGATCCAATCGCCAAATCCTGGTGGTGGAGAACCATCATCCCCCACCCTTTTAGTTCGGGCGCCACTGTACAGATATTAGGTCATTTCGAAGCAGGAGACATGAAAATTAGTAATGCCCTTGCTAGGACTCGAACCACGGACCTCTCGAATACGCACCGAGCGTGCTGACCACTGCACCACGAAGGCATGCTAAAAAAGCGGGAGAAATACCTTATATCTTCTGTATTTCTTTTAATAATATAAAGTTAAATTACAATTATTTTCACATAATCATTACATTCAGTTGTTCACATTCAGACGCAGTCACAAGCATAAATAGAGGAACATGGGAAAGAGGAATAATCCATACTATATTTAATAGGAAAAATACTATTAACAATTTATCTGTATTTTAAAGGTGTTAAATCTTAAAAATGTATTAATTTCGTGACATAAATAAAATAAATATTCAAAACGAAAAGAACATAATATAGCTAACGGAAGACTAAGTTTGAAGTAAGTATGAAAAAGCAAAGTTATATATGACCGTAGACGATAAAAAAGTAAAATTAATAACTGTATAATTGATTCATTTTTAAGTTTGAGGAATTTACTTTTTAGCTCGTGATTTAGCAACGCTTATATATCCTAGATCACATACAACTGAATTGCATGAGTTGTGGATAAAAACAGCTTCAAAATACTGTAACTACATCTACTATCACAGCTTTATTTACGAAATTTTCTTTCTTTTTGGTTTGTGAGAGAATTATTCCTCTTTCCTTTTCACGATGCAAGTAATAGAAATTTAATTTTATTATGCACAATGTTGGAAGAAAGCGTAAAAGTAAATTACTATCAGACTCAATTACCAAAATGTGTAATTTGAATCAGACTCTTTTACTATTTAACTTATTAAGCACGAAAACATTATTTTTATATAAATATTTTACTTCGGAAAACATTGAGCGTTTTGAATTTGTATGAATGAAATTTCTTGAAATAGAATTTTATTTTTTTGGATATTTCATTAGATAATTTTGAGTTATAATAAAATCTGCATTTTTTTTCTATTTAAGGGCAGTGCATGAATCCAGGGAAGTGAAATACAATATATGAACGTCTCTTCGGTCTAAACAGTAAAACAAAAGATACTGTGTTTAGTAATGCGCAATTTTTTATTTTAAACTTTGAGTTTAAAGTTATTAATTCACAATGAATTTACTTTTCATTAGAAAAACAATGAAACAATTTCGAAGATATTAGCTAATATACACAAACCAGCTCTGCAGTTTATTCAGAATTGCATATGATTAATTAACGCCATTAATTGAAGTATACCGTTGTAGTATTTGTTGCTATTCCCGTGTTCTGACATTAACCGCTGATATAAGCCTCATGAATAGATATGGGTGAATATTGCTAGAAGTTGCGTATAAATCCTGAGCACGAATGGGGATCATATGATTTGGTCCATTGTCTTTACAGGTGACAGGTGAGAGTGGATCCGGACATCCGGGGGCGGCTTACTTGGACTATTCGGGTATCGTCCGGAATCCGCAACTGTACATTGTCTTTACAGATGTGATTGAGAAATTCTAAGAAGAAAACGATTACGTAGTACCTTTCTTCTCCTATCTTTAAATGACTTATAGGTAGATGAAGCGCTCTTACTACAAAGACACTACAGTTAGATTTATTTCGGACTGATTTGAGTTCTGGATTGATTGATTTCAATTCTGGGCTTTTCAGCTCTTTACTGAATTCAAAAGGCCCCGTTGATTCCTATATTGATCGGACGGCATTAAAATATATATTTATTACAAGAAGTATGCAAGATTAATCAAAATGATTAACCCAGTTTCAGACCGCTTTGTTGGTGAAATTTGGGAGCAGAGTATGACAAGTATAACTTGAAATGAAAGGAAAACTGGGCAAATTTTGTTTATAAGTATTATCCGTGTCGTTTCGCTAGGTATAGAATAACTAGGTATAGAATTATGTTTATCTGAAATAACATCTTTCATTTCGAATCACAAGTTCGTTCTCTGTTGGATTCCTTGCTGAAGATGCTGCGTAAGGCTTTTAAAAGACTGCATGTATTATAGAATGAGTAAAAAAGAGAAAGGGCAATTGTTATTTGGGAGTCATAAAACTGGTAGAATAAAAAATTAACAAGCTGAGTAATTAAAAGTAAACAAAGTGAAATAAAAAGCTCTTATCACTACCTAAGAATAGAAGTCTTATTCAAGATTTATTTAAACTACTTGTATTTGCAATTATAAATATTTTAAATTAATGACAGATAAATCATATTAGCTTGCATTGATGGAAATTACGCTGTTAATCTTTATATTTACGCACATTTTTAAATCATTTTTTTACTAAGAAAATCTGTTAATTGGTATCGAATTTTATAAACAATCCTAATGTTTGAAGAACTGTTTTATGATGATTCGCAAACTGTAATGTCATTTTGATGTTTCTGGATTTCAATTATCGCATGAATGATGCCTGGCTACTTTAATATCCCCAAATCGTATTAAAAAAAAATCACCACATTGTGTCACTTTTAGGTAAAAATTATTAATTCTTCAATATTTAAGAAGTAATTAAAAGAAACAAAATCTATACATACAGCCTAATTTACCAAATTAAAGAAAAGCAGACACTTTTAATTAAACGTAACTGCATTAAAAACTAAAAGCCTAACATTATGTTTCCTATTTTCTTTCGCTACTAAAGAGATGTTTAATGCATGTAGGGTAACTACATACTTGTGAAAAGACGTTATGCTATGAGATATTAAAATTTATTAATTGATATAATAAAATAACATTAGTTATGATATTTCAGTTTTGCATACCGGACAATGGTTAAAGGCTTGGACAAGGATTGATTCATCTATCAACTTTTGCCGAATATACTCAGCAGCCTGGATCATACCCTAAATGACACAAAAGATAAATAATTAACTAACAAAAGTTTAGTTCATGTAACATAGATTTAATTCAGTTAATTTTTATAATAATTAGTAGATACTTCGAAATCTTTTCAAATTCATAAATGATTTTGATTTCATAATCATCGCTGATTTCTTTGATTTCATTGTAAGTGATTTCACCTAATGAAATCCATGGGATAGAGAAATTTATGACTACAGACTTAAAGCAGAAATGAATACTTTCGAAACCAAATTCGAAGCTAATTCTGTTATTCTAATATAAATTCAGAGCTTTGGTGGAATGAAATTTCCGAAAGAACTATTTACTTTTTTTTAATGCTTATACATTTCTCCTCTCTGTTGTGGAAAAGGTAAGATTGCACATATCTCAAAGTATTAATTAATATCAGAACATGAAATAAGCCTGAGTATCGGTTTATGTTACTCTGCTAACTATTAGAGCAAAATATTGAGTTTTTCAATTACTGTGCTAACTAACAAAGCAAAAGATTCAGCAAAATATTTTTGTTTATCAAATTTATGACGCAAAATACATGTATATTTCCTACTTCAGCTTAAATCGGTCAGACATTGAAAGTTAAAAATAAATTTTCTGCTATCTTATATCTTTGGCAACAATTGTATAGAATTTAAATACAGTTATAACCTTGAAAATGCGTGGTGTGTATATACTTAAAAACTCATCGCACAAAGAGAACAGATGGAAAATGAGGTGAAAACATGTAGATCAGCGCTGATTATCCATAAACATTATTGAGTCATTTTACTAATTAGTGAAATTTGGTGGAACAACACGATTCAGAGAATTTTATTTGGTATAAACCAGGAATTCTAAAAATAGTAATAGTATAAATGTTATTGTGTATAAAGACAAACACTGCTGCTTATACACTGAATAGTAGCTTAAAGTTACACACTAAGTTGTAAAATTAAGTTTTGATTATGAGTAACGATCTTATTTTTTTAAGAGGTATTTTTCATATCTTTTAATAAGCCATGCACATCTTGATGTTTTATTGTCTGTATATTTAATCAAAATTAAGTCTTTACTTTGGTGACAGAATCACGAAAACAAAGTAGCATCGATCGCAAAAGATTACTTATAATCATAAATGGTGGCAAGGAAAATAATGATAAGCATTGATATAAACTAGGAAAATCTTGTTCACGAATAACGAAATTTGTTGGGAACAGAAAATATTTATTATATATTCCAAGCATCAATACACCAATGACCCCGCAATAACTTTAAAATAAAATTTAACTACAATTTTTGAACAGGCTTCGGTGTGAAATTTTCAAAGTACGAAAACTTAAAACATACGTTCCTCATTCATATAAGAATTGGTTTTCAACAGCAAATTTTGTATAAGTAGTATTATTCAAAAATAAAATAACATAATAATGCAATTAATGATAAAAATATGAAAAACAATAATAATGGAAACTATGTCTTGGCAGCCCCTGAGCGCAAAAGAACAACCCAAATAAAATGCAAGCTATGAACAGATGAGCATTTAAGTTTTCCTAAATACGTATCTTAGTCAAATAAATTGATTAAAACGCTTAGCTATTTTGTTTGGAAAACATTGCCGATGCAAGCTAGATGAAGTACTGAATCTTTGGTTTGGCGAAAAACTACAGTTTTAAAGCGTTATTATATCAAAGGTCGATCAATGTATCGCCTCTAGCAAGCAAGAGACAGCTGCCACGGCAACCATCTGTAAAATATATTTTATAGGTTAGTACAGACCAAAAAGCTGACTGTGATGCAAATCGCATAAAAAGTTAATATCGAATTTTCAAGTAAAGTTAGCGAACCGATGATAAAATGCGTGCTTATCGTATGCTTCTGATGACACTAGATATCAGACATTGCATTTTTATGGTTTCAAGAACATCAGATCTGGACTTCTGAACGGTAGGCTAGAATTGTGTATAATTTTTATATTTGCTGCATCGATGCGTTGTGGATAGTGAGAAGACATGGACCCATCCTGCCAAAACTGTTCTGTTGAAAACGATTGTAGTGGTATGATGATGATGTCGTGGAAAGCTTTTTCATGTGACTCGTTAAAGTCTAGAAAGGTCCTCGAACTTTACGCTAACAAAATATGCTGAATGATCGCCTATACTCTTCGCCGTCGATCGCCTGCCATTGTGCTTTCCAAAGGTTTTTTCGACAGAAACATGCTCGGACATTCCCGCATTTAAATTTGATTGGTTGTCTTTAAGATACCAGAGAATCAATGAATTCGGATTGACGCCTAAAGTGTAATAGCAGAAAATATTACATTAGACAGAGTTTCATTTCTTTCTGCAAAACTTCAATATTAAATTGCGTCGATAACTCGTCATGTGCAGGCTGTTATCCGAGCTAAAGAAGACAACTACGTGTGATATAAACATTTAACGTTTCCGTCATGTAATGTAGTTACGAAGGATAAGTGTTTTTATAAGAAAAACTTACATATATTAATAGAATATTATATAAATTAATAAAGTAATATTTGTTTTTTCATGTTCAAAATGACATCTGAATACATAAAAAATAAAACTTCAAATTAGCAGTAAACATTTACGAAAAGACTTAAATTATACTAAAACTATTTACTAGACGCTCTTAATGTTACATTACATTTTAATTTTTTTTATTATGTACTCATGATCTACGGAACATTAGTATACAATTATGTTTAACTTTCAAATATTTAGGAGTGGATTAGTACACTGTACAAATTATACGCATAAAAAGTATGATATTCTTATATTCGCGGTTTAGTATGAAACGAGCTAAATATGTTATGTAATGTTATAAGTTAAAATGTTATATGGCATAAAGGAAATCTTTTCTTATGAATATGAATTCAGCACTTATTTTGCACTTACCTTATGCCCTAACCAGTCATCGTGTCGTGGTTCAGTAGGCAGTTGATCAGCTTCAGCGTTCAGATCAGTGACAACATCCTTACAACATTGAAGCAAAAGAAAATATTTAAAAATCAAGCGAGTTATACATGTTTACATAACATGTTAGTGCACAAGAGAGGATTCTGACTGACACAGATAATCTTTCCCAGCTATCAGATTTACTTGTAATTTAAAACTAAACGCATATAAATATATTATATAGTAAAGAAAACAACCTAGCGTATACACATGATACATCAGCACTATGCAGGTACTTAATTCTAGCTCTTTTAAGAAGACAATCTACAGCATAACATCGAATATTATTTTCAGTAAGTATAGTTTTTACAATGCAAAATCAGTTTCCATTTTTGATTCTTCAGAATATATTTTCTAAATTTTGTTTAAATTAATCAAGTATCCCTATCGCTGAAGAATATCTAGATTAATACTACCGTAAAAATATCAGAGATTTAAGCGTAAAAATGTCTGTTAAATGTAAGATATAGAGGTCAATTTTAATTTTAACAATTATCATAATTAGTTGATATTCATGGCTTTAATTCTAATAGAAAGAGATTGAGGAACCTTTGACAACGTCCCTTCAAATATTCTTTCAAATTATTATTGAAATAGTTTAATGATTTTCAAAATAGTCGTTGTTCGCAAGAGCTACGTGAACGTGGAAACGTTATGATGGTAAAACTTAAGAAAATTTCCTGAAGTCCGCTTGACTGTATTATGAATCCTAACACATACCAATATATGAGGAATTAAAAAAATTAATGTATGTACTATGGTTTCTTAACTACACAATTTTTACTTTGCTAGAGTTTCTAAAGTTTCTAAGGAGGTTCTACTTTTTTTTAAAGAATTATGGGAATGGTCATGAATTCAAAAAACCAAATGTAAATGCTTAGTAGTTGAAATTAAAGACCATATTGGAAGCAAAGAAATGAGCATTGTATTTATATTTTATAATAAAGTAAATTATTGTGCTTAAGAGTATATTAAATTTATTTAAAAAAAGATGCCATTATACGTAAAATTTTAACATTTGTAATTTAAAAAAGTTCTTTGCTTGTGTATTTCTAAGATTTTATTTTACGTAATCAATTACTGTGATTTGATATTGTACTATAAACTATAACTTCTCTTTGTAGTACTCACCAGAAAGCAAATTAGTTGTAGAGTATTTAAGTTGAGGGTTTGAATGTTTTATAGTTGGGGCTTCTGGCAGCCTCGTTTGCAGTTCACGTCCTATCGCCAGCTCTGCCAAAGTTTATTCTGGTTTTAGCCATTTTGCTATCCGACTTTAAATACGCTCCGTTAATTACTTGAGCCAGCTTAAGTAGGCTATTTTGTGTGTAGTCTGAAACTACGTTACTTAAATTTGAATTTCAGTTTATGTTTGTTTAAATACCCGCAAATGGCGGAGTTTCGTCTTCTAGCACAAGTCTGCTTGACTGTATTATGAATCCTAACACATAGCAATATATGAGGTTCTCCTGTTAAATTTAAAGAGCAATTGAAAAGGTTATTTTAACCTTCGTAAGATTTTATTATTTGAATTCAGATTGGAGCGGTAATTCGCTTCTCAGTATCTAGTTCGCTACTCCGTTGGTAGGTCTGAAACTAAATGCATAGTTTTGAAAATTCAGTACCCTTTAACTAGAAATGATTACCATTCTTATTTCAAAATCAAGCTTAACTATTATTCGTTATCATAAGCAAAGCTGACGATTTCGAAAACACTTCATCGATCGCATTGAATAAATTCATCTACAGTAGGCGCCGCTTAATGTGATCAAGTTTGTCCACGCCCATTTTGATAACATCAACCGAATGATAACATTAAACAATGAAAAAAAAAATACCCTTCAAAGTAAAAATAGAATTTATTAATTTAACATAAATAAAACCGCCGCCCAGACGGCATAGTGGTTAGAGAAGCTTGACTGCAATACCGAAGGGCCTGGGTTCGAATCCCCGAGAAAGCAAGCTTGTAACTGTCCGTCCATTCATAGGAGGTGATGGTGGCCCACCTATTCGGTGCCTCCTTAAAAAAGAGACCACCACATCTGGCCCTGTATCGATTAATGGACTGTGTTACACTGTAACTGTTCACAATCTGCCATTGGAAAATAAAACCACAAAACGTATAAATAGGTACTTTCCCAGAATTTTTAATTAGGAAAATTTTAGTTTTTTTCATCAAATGTTCATAAAATTTCTGGAAATTATATGACCGATTTTGTATCCCTAATCTTAATACTCGGATAGCATTCTTCATTAGAAGAGAACACTCCAATTTAAACAAGGCAAAAATACAGCATTAGCTAACGGTTGGTGGTGTGGTGGTGTATTTAATTATCGCAAAGCACACTAGGGCTATCTGCCTAAGGGAAGGGATGCCTTCGTGGAGGACTTTATAAGGGAATCTGGCTCGCATACACGTTCCACACGGGGAAAACTACGAAAACGCCCATGCAGCCAGCCCGTTCGCGGGATTCGAACCTCGGACCGAACTACCAGTGTTCAGCGACTTTACCACTCGGCCGCTGGTGGGCGCTAACAGTTGGTGTTTTGACAGAAATGTGTAGGAAAAAAATTCTGCAAGTATTTTTTTGAACCTGAAGGAAAAGGACCTATACCTTTTATCTGATTGCCCTTAAAATGGATATTGAAAACTTACGTCAAACTAAAGAATTTTTTTTTTGGAATAATTTTAAAACACTGTTGACTAAAATCAAAACCAAACTGTGTGGAGACTTAATTCCTTGGCGACATTTTTTCTGCCACTTGGCAAGTTTTATAACTATTTTGAATGTACTTAGCGACTTTACTTCAGCTTAAAAAATTAATTCTATAATAATTTGATCACATTAAACGAATTGTTGATGACAATAAGTGATGTATTTTTCATGTTTCCTATAAACAAACGAACGCGACTTTTGCGATTCGAGAAGAATACCCGAATCATGACCTTAACCGCTACCATATTAAGCGGCATCTACTGCAATGCATTTGTCAGCAGCATTTGATTCATACATTGCCCTAGTTCTCGTTTCCTACATTTAGTGATTAGAACTAAATGGAAGTTCGTGTTCAGTGAATAGTATGATCCCTGCCATTCCAGTATATTTAAATACATACTTTCATTTAACGATCACTGGAGGTCAGGAATCAACAAAATTCTCAAAAATCTTCCCTATCGTTTAAGTACTGAAATAAAAGTAATTGCTTAAGTCGTTTTATAAAAGTGTCTTTCTTCTTTTGGAAAATTCTTATTTTTTTAGGACATCAGATTCTACTTTGTAACAAGGAATATTTTTAATGCTAATAAATGCTCTAAAAATACTCTCTCAGACTGTATCTCCGTTTCCAGTAAGTTTGCCTGGAATGCATATGAATTTGAAAGGACATGGGTTGAACAAAAATATGGGAAAACCTTGTAAAATGCATGTTTGGACTGAAATGTTTATTCTTAAAAAAGCTGTTGGTGGCACTGAAAAGTTTGCTCACTAACGCTATCTGTACAACATCTTCAATACGTTGCAAGTGGCATTCGTTATCGAGACAGTGTTTTGTGCATTTCTGATTGAGTGCATTATGTCGGATCTTAATGAATTAGAACGTGGGGAAATTGTTGGAGTTTGTAGGGTGGGTGCTTTCGTAACCAAGGTAGTTAAAGTGTTTGGTATTTCAAGAGGCCCAGTATTTAAGATTTTTTTAACTGATTTACAGGAAAACCAGAAAAACCGCTTCCGCTAAAATCACGCGCTGGTAAAAATGTGTGTTGAGTGATCATGACAGGCGACCACTGAAGAGTTCCACAAGCAGGGTATTTTTGGACGAAGTTCAGTTAAAAGCCACTCATCAGTGATTTGTAAGAGGAAAACGTGGTACCAAAATCATAAAAACTGGACTGTAGAGCAATGGAAGACTGTCATTTGGTCGAATGTGTCTTGCTTCACACTTGCTTCCGACTTCTGGGGGAGTTTACTTCTGGCGAATGTCGTCCCAAGCGTATGACAGAGACTGTTTACTGCCGAGAGAGTGAAACATGGCGGTGGTTCCGTCATGGTTTGGTAAGTTATATCGTGGTATTCCATGGGATCAATCATTAGTGTGCAAAGTCACATTACTGCCAAGGATTATGTGACCATGTTGGCTGATCACGTGCATCCAATGGTACAAATTGTGTTCTCTAATGGGGATGCCGTATTCCAAGAAAAGAGAACTCTTGTTCACCGAGCTCACATCGTCAAAGATTGAGTTTTTTGAGGGTGAACTTTTACATCTACCGTGGCCACCACAATCACTAAATATCAATATCATTGAGCCTGTATAGGCTATTTTGGAGAGAAATCGGTGTGAGGGCTATCAATTACTATCACCATTAACTGATCTTGCCAACATGTTATAGGAAGAATGGTACAAAATTCCTTTGAAAAGCTTACAAGATCTCTGTTTATCTATTCTGAGAAAACTGCAAGCTGTTTTAAATGCCAACGGTTCTCCTACAATTTATTAGTCACAGCAATATGTTTTTATTTCCATGTTTCTATATTTTTGTCTAACCCCTTATGAAGTTCTAGTTAAATTTTATGTCCTTTCAACTAGAAGCTTGGAGAAGAGTATAGCGACTATTCACTGTTTTTCTTACAACTATAGAAACAAAGTTAAAATAAGCTTTAAAACACCCTTTTATTCCACGCAAAGAATAATAACAGTTGGCTCCTCTCGGGCTTACAGCAAAGCCTCCACTTGAGCTTTAACTTTCTAAGAAACTAACTTAATTCTAACTAAAATTTAGCCGAAGCTGTACAGAAATAACTAACCGAGTTGGCTCTTAATTAACTTTACCGGAGAATACTAACAGGCACGTAAGACCACGGCTGAACGGAGCAAGATAGGCTTAAAGCAACGAAGTGGCCAGAAGGCAGAACACCCTCTACTGAGAACTTCTGAGCGCTCTACTGAGAAGTTTTTTATGGAAGTGGCTGAACTTCCCATTAAATACTGGTTCTATCTCATCTAAATAAAACGCGATACTGAAAGGGTTTAAAAATAAAAAAGAACTATTAGAAAATTAAAATCTAAATATCTCCACATATATCAAATAGCATGACTCTTAATATCTCCGCAGGTGATCAATAATATTCATATCACAGGAATAAGAGGTCTAAACGAGATATTCTACTTCATCATCATTCTCTTTGGACAAATCATGAAAAATGAGGATAGGAGCATGTCGTGGATAGGAGCAATGCATGTGAATAGGAGGGTGTCGTCCTAAAAAGTCGGTCGCTCTGAAATGGATGGGCATGATCTGTGGATAGGATCGAAACGTCCTGCAAACGCGGTCGCTTTTCAGGTAGTAAAGTGTAGACAAAATGAATGTACATGACTAATCAAGATGAACTGACAGTAATCGGCTTTGATCTTTTTACCACGCAGGAAAACAAGTGAGCCAGGACCGCGCCAAGATATTGCAAGCCATACCAACGGGATGTCACCTCTACGCTTAAAAGTCGGCAAAAGATAAGCAGGCGTAAATGCTTCGATGAACATTCTCCTGCTATAAGTAGAATGCTGATTAATCAGATGGGATGACTTATCGCCATTGTTGTGAGTTTCAACACGGATGAGCTGTGCAACACTGACGTCGCTTGAAAGCATTAAGTAAGGCCACAAACGGTTAAAACAGGGTCTTGAAGATTAAGGGTTTATTTTGAAGATTTTCTGGAATAGGACTGCTTATAATATCGAGCCACTATGCGTTTCAACATTTGTCTTTCTCTCCAACTCAACAAGTTTTTCGGTCACTGCTATGCTTTGAAATCGCTCACTTAATGCATTTCCTGTATGCTGTCATAACGACTGATACAGTGCTCCTTGCATAGCCAAAAATCTTTTGCTATTTCCGCAGCCGATACTTCAGCTAAACGCTCTCCAGCAATCATGGCTGCCTGGAAGTCTGTAAGGTTTACTATTTAAGCACCTCTCAGAGAGTATAAACGGCACATGCAGCATCTATGGTGGTGGTGCTGGTGTATTTAGTTATGGCAAAGCACACTAGGGCTATCTGCCTAAGGGGAGGGATGCCTTCGTGGAGGACTTTCTAAGGGAAACTGGCTCGTATACATGTTACACATGGGGAAAACCACAAAAACGCTCATGCAGCCAGCCCGATCGCGGGTTTCGAACCTCGGACCGAACTACCAGTGTTCAGCGACTTTACCCCTCGGCCGCTGGTGGGCCTGCAGCATCTATGATAACTGTTAATGGAGCAACAACTAATGAATCTTTTTGCTGTACTTCTTTTAATTATTTATCGAAGTAGTCCTAAAACTGCGTAAAACTCCTTTGTATAACTGAGTTGACATGCAAAAAATGTCTTAAATTAATATTTTAGTACTGTATTTTTCCAATATCTACCATAGCAATATTTAATGGAAATATTAAGCAATTTCCTCCGCTTCATAAGATTACTTTTTTTAATCGAAACCAAATTTTATGCGGCTTTTAGGAAATTACATTGCTTTGTTTAACTGAATTCAACTACACAAGTTAAGAACTGAACCAAGAAAAAATATTCTTCGTCTAAGGAAAAACTTATATTATAGAGAACTTAATGCAGTGGAATTAATCTTTTTTTTTTTTTTTTTTTTTTTTTTTTGAAATTATAATGAATTTTATAATTTTACAAATTTAATGTTACAATTCGTTTTTTCTATGGAAGAACCGGATGTCCCATAAATCTGCACACATTTAAAAAAATCGTACGAAATCAAAAATTTGACGTGTCTGCATTCTTGTTTGGTTGAAGTTTTTTATTGACATTTACGTTCATTTTAGATTTTTACGTATGAGCTTAACTTAAAATCACAGCCTGAGAGGTTCGTGATAAATTTTGAGTAACAATAAAATACGATTCTCTGAATAACTGTGTTTAATAAATCGATGCGTATTTCTAAATAATTGAATTATTTAAACTCTCGTTCGAGAGACAGACTTTAAACATTATTTCGTTATGATGTTACATCCAATTAATGAAAAATATTTTGTGAAAACTTTACCAGTTATCTTACACAGCCTACATGGACAAGCCTGCATAAATTCACGTATGCTAAATGAAAAAGTTTATTTTACCTGAAGTGATAAAGTCCCTCTAATTGATATAACTATCGTTCTTTTTTCATGATCCAGTGCTACAAAAAACGGTGTTTCTCCAATCTGGAAAAAGAGGAAAAAAAATATTCAGATTACATTTTTGAATATATTTTATTGCAATAGGCACGAATAGAAACTGAGTCCTATTACCACATGATTTGGCTGATAGTTACATAAAATATTGGAGTTAATTAAACATGAACGTTTTTCAGCAAAGCATCCTTTAATTTTTCATAACGACATACTTTTGTACAATCCGCAAACATAAAGTAAGATAACTCCATTTCTTCTTAATATTATCTTGTATGAGACTAATGTTTTAAGACTAAAGGTTTAAAATAAAAAAATTACATTGGAGTATACACAGATATTGAAAAAGCAATGGCGTGGGCCTAAATACTTGGTTTTAAATCATTTGTTAAGGCCGCTAACTTTCAAATCTATTGATTGATCCATCGAGAGACCTCCACAGCATAATAAATCAGCAGTGGAATTAAAGGTACCAAAATTATAATTTTTATTAAAAGCCGTGCACTTAATAGCCATTCATTCTTAAATATGTGTAAAGAGATGGATTCTGAATACAAAAAAAAAAAAAAAAAAAAAAAAAAAAAAAAAAATATTACACACGGAAGTAAGATGGATCTCAAGAGGGCATAGTTTAAGAAGGTTACTGTAATTAGACGATATTATTCCACTTTTTGTCGGCTAAAAATCAGACCTTGCTGCTCCTTTTCAAAACTTATGTCAATCAAAGCCGTGATTTAAGGCTATAAAAGCTATGCTATTTGTCAGATATTTTTGAAAATTCAGCTTGTCTCTTCAAGAAAATATAGCAATGTAATTTACTTCGAATGATGAAGTTGAAGGGTTTATTAAAAAGATCAACATTTGGAAGAATATTGTGGAAAATGATTCATTCGAAATGCTTTCGATTATCGACGATTTTATAATTAAAACAAAACTATAAAGTTTTTATTTAAAAAATAAGTATAGACCATTTAAAAATCTTAGGAAAACAGTTTTGCAAGTACCTTTTATTGAATTTTAAAAAGTTAGCTTGGATTCAAAATCCGTTTTTGCGTAATGATATTGAATTCGTCTACCATATAAACTCGAGAGGAATTTGTTGAGCTATCGGGTGATTAAAACTTAAAACGCGAGTTTCCACTAAAATCCTTGTTTGAATTCCAGATAGCAGGTAGAGCTAAATTTCCCACACTTTCTCAAATGACATTAAATGTGCTTCTATCATTCAGCACCACATAGTTATGTAAAACGACTTTTCAGCTTTAATTAAATCCAAATATCAACATAAAAAACTTTGCAGATGATTTACGTTCAGCAGTATCAAATATTGCGCCAAGATTTATTATGCAGCAATAAAACAAAGCACACCAAACTCATTAAACCTGATTTCCTTTAATTCAATTTTTGTATACTTGAAAGAAATCCTAAACTGCTACTTCTCATATGTATACTGTTTACAAAAGAAATAAATTATTTATGGGAAAATACTTATTTTTATATCTTTATTTTATATTTAATATCTGAAGTCACAAAAAAATCTTGATGATAAAAAGGAGTCATGAATGAAAAAGTTTAAGAAGCTCTGTTCTGGGATATCCAAGAATATGCAATCTATATACTGTCAGAGGCATTTCAGTGCAATTATTTTTGCCCCACCCTTTCCGGAATAACATGAAATTATGGACAAATGACCGAGCTGCTACAGCTTCAGGCTGTTTCTATGATTTGGCACCTATTATAAGTTTCATTTGACACTAAGAAGGTTAAAATGGAACTTATTGCTTAAAATGCATTCTGAATTGTATGTACAATAATGCTTTCACCTTTCCTCAAGTGCGACATCTGCCCATTGTAATATAACGTATAAAAACTCTAATTATTCCGCAGTGAAGTGGATCTCATGGTATATAGCAGAATATCGTGATTATCTAACGCGATAAAAGAATGATTTGTAGAAATCGTACAAATATAGATCGACGTATACTAGCTTCATGTTGGGGGTCAAGTTAGGTTATTTGAACATGGCAGAGCACATGAAGGAAATCGATGATTTCGTAGAGGATTTTCCAAGAAAAACTGGCTAGTATTCAAGCTACATACGGGAAAAACCACAAGAACTAACCATGTAACCAGCCCGTTATCCTGGGATCAGACCGGATGAACTCCCAGTATTCAAATGTCTTAACCACTCTGCCACTGGGAGGCTGTAGCTTCATATATCACCACAGGCAGGTTGTTGTTGCAGTTTAAGAAGAATTAGCGCTAAATAAAACACAACATTTCAGAAAAAAGCTTACTGCCATATTATCTTAACTGATTCGAAATGTTTTATAGCGTACGATTCTTATCAAACTTATCCGCTGGCTTCGAACTTGCCTGTGCTGTCTTTCGTTTTATCCTTCAGACCATAACTGGAGTATTTACAGCCAGTTGTGCTGCTGTGAGACAGGCTTCTGAAATAATTTCTGGCTTTCACTGTTGGCCAACCGAAATCGCCTAAACGCATCCGAAAATGTTGTAATCATCCGGCCGTACAAGGATTAATGCTTAACTTTTTACATTAATGCATTTCTCATTGGTTTTCCAGACTTGTTGAATGAGATCAGTTGTTCTTTTATTATTGTTTGAGCACTTATCTTACATGAGTGGACCTTTCTCTTTCTTTTTACTAACCTTTCGATGATCATCAAGGAACTCAGCAGTTACTCACCGCAGTGGACAAAACAGCTGGCATTACAAATTTATGATTGACAGATTTTCGTAAATATTTGGAAAGAAAGAATTGCTTAATTTCGCAACCACCGAAGGATTAAGCATCAGCATTTCTCTTCGTTCAGCTGTTTTACGTTGAAGTCTGACTGGTAGAGACATCCACAGCCACATTTTGCCCAAGGAAAGAAACTCAAAAAATAGTAAAAGGTCTGACGGGAAAGTAGCAACTTCATTTCGGTAGGGAATTGTTAACCGTCTGGCAATTTACTTCTTGAGAGAGGGAATTTCTTTCAAACAGTAGTTCGCAAACACAGGCATTTGAGGGGATTGGATGAAACATATTTTGATATAGACTAATGGGAAAGAGTTAGCATTACTTGCCAAACAATCTAAATTATTCAAATTAATCTCCACTTGATTAGTATTTGTACCAATAAAATTTTCAATCACTATTAACTGCAATATTAGAAGGATTCCGCTGTTTTAACCTACATAAGCCTGGCACCAGCCAGCCTCCTCTATCGGGATTTATTATTTTGTCTCTTTGTATTGCATGCAACTTGAATAGTTCTGATGACAAGATCTCTGAGGCAATGTTTCTTTCACTCTTTTTATAGCTGCTTAATATAAAGACAGTAACACAGAGCAGAAAATATTGCTGCATGTTTTAGAATTATAAATCTTCGCGCGGTATATCTTTTGGATCATGAATGTTTTATAAGTTGATCTCATGCATTCGATTGCCTGTTAAGGAGCAAATGCTTTTGTGTATCTTCAAAATTCAGTACTGGCCGTGCATGGGCGGCATAGCAGTCTAACGCTGTTGGCCCCAGTACGTCGTGGAAGGCAGAAAATTTAACAACTAGGGTAATGGCAGAATGTCATTTCTTATGAAATCAGCATCATAGATTCGCCCTTTCCAGGATCTACAGCCATGATGGTATGTACACTGCGAAAAAAAAGGGAAGGGCAGTTCTATATCTCCCGTTCTACTGGGCCAATTGACAGAATTCAAATTGCGTTTTTTATGTCTCAAAAGCGCGACTTAGTATATATATTAGATTTATATATAGCATTTTTCTAACATAGGTATTTTGACACAAAATCAGACTTTTCTGAAATAACATACCAATTTTTTTTTCATATTTCGATTCTGTGGCCCAAATTATGCCTAGATATAAAATTTTGTAAAATTTGGTGCAAAATTTATTGAGAAATGCAAAAATATATCTTGGCACAATTTTTTCATTTTGCGCCAACAATATTTTTTAGTTGGCGATCTTCTTAATATATGGCAACCAATTTTCCTTTCCCTTCCATTATGCCGGAGCGGGGAAAAAGGTACTTCGTTCTACCTTTGTACATTGTGTAAGAGCGGAAAAAATGTCACATCGTTTCTACTTTCAAATAATTTTAGCAAAGTGTCTAAACCACATTTGATGTTTTATTGCTTTCAACAAATATGTCAAATTTCAAAACGCGCCAATATATAAATTCACGTATATCTTCGGAAATTTTGAACAAAAAACTCTAATATTTTGGAAGTATGCTTAGAAATACATCTTCTTTAAGATGATGGTACAAATGTTTTAGATTATAATTCAAAACTTTTCTGAAAAATTTATAAAAATTATTTAAAAATAAAATTAAAAAAATAAATCATAAAAATGGTTGAATTTTATTTGGAATGAACCTAAATTTCGAAATGTGAAAGGAAGACCCAAGTAAGTGTAATAAGAAAAGAGATATTAATAAATATATACCAAATTCAATTAACATTGAAGAGCTAAAACTTTGAGAGCTTATTTTTTAAAAACCGCTCGTGCGAATTTTACGAAACTTTGCACATGGGCATAATTTGAGTAGTAGAAACGAAATATGGAAAAAAAAATCATATGTTATTTCAAAAAATGTCCGATTTTATGTTGTTAGAACAATGCTATATGTAAATCTAATATATATCCTAAGTCGCGCTTTCGAGACATGAAAAACGCAGGTTGAATTTCGTTAATCGGCCTAGTCGAAAGAAAGATATAGTACTGTCCCCCCTTTCTTTTGCGCAGTGTACATCTATAGATATATCCATCCAAACCATTACGAGATTAACTGCAAATACAGTGCATTCTAAGAAGCCATGCATTAACCTAGAGAGCAGCAATCCAGCCAAATTATTTAAAGGACTAATCTTACTTCCATCATTTTATTCATAGATCTAAGATGTTGCTTGTAGCATCATGATACGTGTAGTTGAACCAATCTGAAAGAAGATGGCTTTCGGTAACGTGAGCAATAACAAATTTCCGCTTGAATACTTTTCAAGG